GCGCGTCCCGTGCAGCTCAGCGGAACCGACAAGCGGTTTCTCCGCGTCCCCTTCTCGGCGCCCAGCTCCCCAGGCAGGGGTGGAAGGCGTTTAATATTTGCTGCGGACGTTTATATATTTTTTTTCCTCCTCTTGAGAACATAAGTAATTAATTTTGTTTCCCAATGAGCTAGGAATTTAAATAAACGATTTTATTTTATCTCAAAATAAATTTTCAGAGTAAAATACGCATCTGGTTCCACTGTGGCTGGATGAGGGTTTCCACGTTTTGGAAAGGTTTGAATGAAGCACCTCATCCACCTTTTGTTTAATCACCGTCTGCTACACTGAGGTGGGCACGTTGCGGTTGGGGCAGCATTCAGCACCAAGAAGAGTGTTTTCCGGTGCTGTGTCTCTAACTGCTGATAACGTAATTTTTGGGATATTAGAAAATGGAAATTAATGATTGCGAGAATTAAAATTAAACCCGCGTGAGAATACGAGGAGCTGGTTTTAGGCGATCAATAGCATGTTTGCAGTGCGATGTTGTTTGCTCAGACCCGTTAACGCATGTTTTGATGAATGAATGAGAACATTTTGGACCAGGGTTTTCTGGCGATTTTGGTAATGGATGAGATTTGTGATAGGAGGAATTGTTATCGTAGTGGTCACACTGAACACAACCAGCTTCCCCCCTCAAGCAGCCCTCAACAACAAAACAAAGACAATCGATCCCCTTCAGTTCTGTTTATTCAGATCGTATTATTCTTGTAGTTTGGACTTCAACAAATACAGCATATTGCACTTACCGGAGAGCAGCACAAGAGAAAAAAAAGTACAATACTTCATTTTATTTCCAAGGAAGAATAAGACGTTGTGATAGTTGTTGCTCTTCTTAAATATATGAAACCAACTGAAAACCTAAGTATATGTACACAAGATTTACTAAGTCCCTGAATATGCCATTCGAAATTTTACACAGCATTTTTGCTTTTCTTATATTTTTTACAGAGATATACAGTATTCCACACACAGTTTCAGACTGAGAAAACTTTACACAATTATACCCCAGCTACGAGGCAGTTGGTTTTTTTGTTCTGTTGATTGTAGGTTTTTTTTGAAGGATCCCCGTCAGATTTATGCCAACTATTACTCAGATAATTTTCTTCAGGATTATCCCCCACCACCACCACCTTGCCAGAATGCAGAAGGAAATATAGATAAGAAATAAGTCTAGAAGAAGAAAGCCATTACATCATGACAAACGTTAAACTGTATATATTGCACATTGGTACAGAAATGTAATGCAATAATGCTTTAATCCCCAGTTTTCCCTCTCTCCCACACACCCCTCTTTGCTGCTGAGGCTGGGCCGTGTAGGGGAACCTAACTGTACTCATAGTCTGATGAGTCCTCCTCGGACACCCCTGTCAGGTCTCTGCGGTAAGAGTCCGTGCCATTCTCCTCTGTCTCACCCGCTGGATGAAGGCTTTTGCCCATGCCTTTGCGCTCCTCCATTTTGATAGTGTCATAAAGTCCCTTAGGTCCTTCTTCAAGGAGGATGTTCCTCTCTGAGTGAGAGGGTTTCATCTGGCAGACATTTTTGAGGAAGAGGAGGACAGGGGCATAAAGCACATTGGCAAGCCCCATGCCGAGGTTGAGCTGTGCAAAGCCCATGGTGTGCACAATCTGGCCAGCCACGATGGGCCCCAGGGCGTATGCTACGCAGTAGGAGATGTCTGCGATGGCATAGACGCTGCCGTAGACAGAGACGTGGCGCACGTCCACCAGGAAGGCCAGGGTGGGCAGCAGGGCTGTGTCCACCAGGGCAATGCCAAAGCAGATGCCACAGAGGGGAATGATGACCTGCTTGAAATTCCTGCAGGCTGGCACCAGGCAGGAGCTGGCGCCAATGATGGCCATGCCCAAGGCCCCGTAAAACCACTGGAGGTGGGGGTACGCTGCAGCCAGCCGGACAGTGACGTAGACGCCCAGCACGTGGGGGAAGAAGGCGGGCAGCCAGGTGAGGCCCACCT